GGCACCGGCGACGACGGCCGCCTGACGACGTGTGGTGGCGGCGGAGGAGGATGGGCATGGAGGACCGTTGCTCATTGACGACACACGGCTGCCGCTGCTCACAGACTTTGCGCTGCTGCAGGGCGCCGTCGTGGACGCCGCGGCGGCGCCAGCGTCCGCGGAGTGGAGCGCCGTGAGCGGATTCACCGGCATCTCCACTGACCCGGCCACCGCCACGACGGCGTCCACCGCCACGGCATCGGCCATGGAAGTGTGGGAGGAGGGGATAGAGAGATGGAAGATATGACATGTGGGCCCCCAAGGGCATTTTAGAACTTTCACGTGATTTCTCTCTCCTCTTTAACCGGAAAATATTATTTTAATCGGTACGGTGTTCATTGGCAAATTACCATGTTTATAGAGTGTTTTTCCCCAATAGTGAGTTCGGGCAGTGTCCTACGGCTAAAACCACGAAATTGCAGTGTCCTTTAGCAAAATTTGCCTTGGAGAAAGAGGGGAGGAATAGTAAGGGAGAGGAGAGTGATGACATGTGGGAGCCACATAATTATTTTATTTTTCTGACCGGACACTCACTTAGATGCGGGTCTCACTAATGTTTTTATTTTTATTTTGCTTCATATTTAAGCGCCGGTAGGGATGAAGACCGAGTCAACCAGTGCCACGTTAGCCAAAACAGCCTGCAATACTGCTGAGAGACCTAATTTGCACTGGTTTTGTATCTTATAGGACCCTCAGTACCTGGTTTTATGGTTGAGGAATACGAATTAAACTCGATCCCTATTTGAGGGACCTCAAGTGAACTTTTTTCAAACACAGATGAGTACTAGCAAATTAACAACGAGTAGAGAAGTGCTAGTAGTGCAACGAGTAGACCTATGCATGGCCGATGTTAGGTATCCCCTCTGTGTGATGTCCAAAAATATAGCTAGAAATTGCTATTGTATCTATTTCAAAATATAAGGATTTTTTGGTTTAGACATAAATATTAAGAAAGTAAATGGAATTAAATTGAAGAATGTTGTGATTGATTATGAAGAAAAAGTAGGTGAAGAATTTGGATGATGAAATGTTGTGATTTTTTTAGAATGAAATGTTGTGATATTTTAGAAACTAACCAACGTCATATATAAATGGAAGGAGGAAGTATATAGGATTTTACATTTTATAGGAATTCCAAAAGAAAAAGGACATATACGCCCCATTATCTGAAACAAATATAGCCATGGCACAAGAGTGGAGTTTAGGATCACATTCGGTACTGCCAGAGTTTGAATGGAATTTAATTTGGAGGGCCAATATGAGAAAAAGAAATTTTCAAAGTAGGGGCATGCAGCTATAAAGTGATATATATAATACTAAGGGACCCCGTTGCAATTTTTGTAAAGTTGAGAGAGCATTGCACGTTACAACCACATGGCAGATAATATCCACGTCATTTTCCACCATGGCGCCTCTCACAAAGTTGTCCACAATGGAATGCTGGGTCCTCCTAGAGCTGGCATATCCAAATCATCCACTAACTACAAAAGCAACTCTAAGTATTTTTAAGGTAAAAAAAATTACTTTCACGGTGAAAATAAAATCGCATCAGTTATGCCACCTTGTTTTCAATGTTGATTTTTTTTACACATTTGCACGACGTTTAACCATTAATTTATCTTATTAAAAACTATACATCATTTATGTTTGTTATGATTTATTTCAATATTAAAGGTACTACAACAAAACTTATATTATTTTTTTATGGAACCAAAACTTATATTATTACAAATCAGACGCATAAGTAAACGCGGTATTAAAAATGCGGTATTAAAAATCAACGGTGTCGTATGTTACATTTTACAAAGGGAGAATCAAGATCATTCATCTTCCTTTAGTTTGAATCTTGATCGGTTGACCTAACTTCTCTGACATTGATCCACGTCTCACGCACGACTGTCATTTTGCAAACAAAAACGGCTGGCTAGCCACGAATCTTTATTCTTACCTACTATTTTAAGTGAAGAAAAATGGAGCTGATTGAGTGAACCTGCAGGGTCCTAAACAAAAGCTGCATTTTTTTTTTGGCATCAACCGAATTAATTAATTAATTAGCTTCTCTGCCTAATGGTAGTGGGGATCACACTTGGAATAATCAATCGGCCACATGGAAATTAAAAGAAAAAAAAAGGGGGCAGCTAGAAAAAAAGCGACAGCCTAACTGGTCACCTCCAATTAATTAGGCTCCAACCCCATGCTGATAAGGCAGATCGAGGGCATCTTTCTGCGTGTTTCAGGGCCACAAAACGAGAATAATATCTTGCAATTTCCTTTCCTTTTCTTCAGTTGCTTTGGCATCATCGATCGAGTCGATATGTTTTATGCTGTGTAGGTCAGCATGTTAGGTGCACTACAGCGTTTCAGACATCCATTCCCATCGGACCAGTAAACATCATTGCTTCGATTATCGACCATACCAATATATGTCGCTTGTGGTTAATTTTCGTCAGATGTAAACTTTCGCTTTGGCCAAGAAATTTATGTTTCTACAAAGTATAGTGTACGTGCGATATACAACTTATTTGAAATGCATAAATTTGGTGTAGTAGTCCCACGCACCATGCATAATGCAAATTTGGTGATCTATAATCGTGTACATGTGTAAATGTGCTTTAGCTAAAAATTTGTGAGGATTACAGCTTTATCTCTTCTGTTTTACGGACTTTGTGGGTGTTTATGTGGTATGTAATCACGTGTAAAACATTGAAAGAAGTTGTTATTCTGCAACCCTTGGATACAAATTTAATGGCTAACATGCTTCTTTCGTCGATCGGGTGGTCATTTTGTTTGGCACTCTATAGTGGTGATGATAGTGAGGCTGTGTTTTAGTTTACACTGAAGTTTGAAAGTTTGGTTGAAATTGGTACGATGTGATAGAAAAGTTTTGTGTGTGTATGAAAGGTTGGATGTGATGGAAAGTTGGAAGTTTGGAAAAAAAAACTTTGAAACTAAACAGGACCTGAGCTCAAATTACAATGTACTCCCTCCGTTTTGAAATATTTGACACCGTTTACTTTTTAGCACATGTTTAACCGTTCGTCTTATTAAAAACTTTTGTGAGATATGTAAAATTATATGCCTACATAAAAATATATTTAACAATGAATCAAATGATAGGAAAAGAATTAATAATTACTTAAATTTTTTGAATAAGACGAACGGTCAAACATGTGATAAAAAGTCAACGGCGTCAAACATTTCGAAACGGAGGGAGTATGTTGTAGTATGACTTGTGCTTTAATGAAATCTCTCCATTGTCTAACGAATGTAACACTACCATCTAGATCGTGTGAGAAGAGAAGGGTAATGGATAATAGCGAGAAAAAGTGGGAGGTTATATAAGGTTCAAGTAGTTAGGGTCAGAGGTAAAACGGTTTATACATACCTAGGAGGGAGAATAAATTTAGATGGTCGATGAAAATTTAAATATTAGAAAAGTTGGCTGATGTTTAAGAAGGAGCAAGCATACTCTCTCCGTTCCATAATACTCCTAGAACTACGAATCTGGACAGACTCTTTGTTCAGATTTGTAGTAAAGGGTTATGTTGCATTCGTTCGAAATCCCTTATATTTTAGGACGGAAGAGTGTCATAATTTAAGAAGAAACCCATAATTTAACTGTGCTTCTTGACAGGCTGAAGATGTAAACTTTTATGATCTTTGAAAAACAGTCAATGTTGATGTAACTATTGATTTCACAAGTATATATTTATTACAACTTTTTGTACTAGAGGATCTTCTGTTGAACCAAACTGTAGAACCTACAGAGAATATCCATTGCGGCGTTGCATTTCACACGTTATAAGCGTGCACTGAATAGTTTAGGGCTGTCCTCTTCTCAAGGAGAGAGAGAGAGAGAATAGTTTAGGACTCCATCCGCACGTGCTAACTGCCAACCACTCTCTGATAAACAAAACCCGCAGTGCCATCGAGCGCACACACAAGAAGCCGCCATCCAAATTCGAATCTTTTGGAATTTTGATTTTCGTCGTGTTAAGTTTCAAAATATTTCTTCAAACTTCTAAATGTTTCACCATATCAAAACTTTACTACACACATAGGATCTGTTTGAGAACTAGCCGAGAGTTATTTTAAGAGCTATTTTTTAGCATAAGAAAATAGCTCTCAATAAAATAGCCATAAGTTGTTTGGATAAAGGGTTATTTTGATAACTATTTAGCCTTTAATGTATCATCCCATTAAAAGAGATAGAGAGAAAAGACACTTTTTCAGTGGACCCTACCTGAAATAGCCCCAATTAGCACCCTTTGGGTGGGATAGTTTTTTTGGGTGGGTTATTTCCAAATAGCCCTCAAATAGCTCACCCTTTTAAATCTTTTTAGACTATTTGGGCTATTTGAGTGAGGGCTAAAAAAAATATCCCTGGATCCAAACAAGACCATAAACTTTCAACTTTTCCGTCACATCGTTTCAATTTCAACTAAACTTTCAATTTTAACATGAACTAAACACAACCTTTGAAGGATCTGATCGAGGATGGGTTTTGATACTGGACATCTCGTTTCGTTTCGTTTTTCGTTTGAAACCTTTCATTTTCACTTCACAAAAGCAGCTGCCCAACCAGTTCACTCACAGTAGGCAAAGCCTCTTTTCTGTTCGTATACTGCGCCAGGCTTGGACAGGTCAACCGTCCCCAGATTGTTCCAGTGGCATCATGCCGAGCATGATCATAACATGATAGCAGCATCCTTGTCTTCAAAGCAAACCCAAGTTATACTTTCTTGGCATTGGCACGGAAACAATCATCAGATCAACCTGTGCACCATACCAAATCTTTTCGTCATTTCACATTCCTCTTTTTGCAAAACAATTTCCTCACTTCGCTGTGTTTAGTTTATACTGAAGTTTAGAATTTTGGTTGAAATTGGTATGTGTGAAAGAAAAGTTACATGTGTATAAAAGATTTGATGCGATGAAAAGTTAGAAGTTTAAAAAAAAACTTTAGAACTAAACAGGACCTTCTTATTCTTTTTTCTCAATGAATTACATACATTTCGTGATATATATGAACCAAAAGCAAAGAAATTACACTAACTCGTGATATTTACACTATACATTTTGAGTTTATAACATCGAGGAATATTTACAGTTGTGATATTTTGAGTAATTAATGAACAGAGTGTCGGAGTGGTTGGTCAAAACTGACGAAAGGGGAAACCATCACCGGACGGCAGAGGCAACGGTGTGGGCCCAGAGGCGGAGTTGCTCCTTGAGGTCGGCGCCGTCGCCGTCGCCGGCCGGCGGGATCCTCCAGTTGCGCAGCATCCTCCTCATCTCCTCCTCCTCATCGTCCCACGCCTCCGACAGGTACGGCCTCCTCGGCGCCGAGGAGAACGACGATGAGGTGCCGGCCGGAGCAGAGCCGATCCGGCGACTGCTGGCTGCTTCCTCCTCGGCGGACGCCGCCGCGGCAGCCGGGGCCTCTCTGGCGTCGTCCTCGTCGGAGCGCCGCCGCCGGAGCCCAGGCACGATGGAGGCGAGCTCGGCGTCGACGTCGTCCTCGGAGAAGGTGAACCCGAGGTCTTGCAGCCCCTTCACCTCCTCGAACTCCAGCTCCGACATGCTCCGCCCGCGCCGCTGCCGCCGCCGCCTCCCCCCGGGCCGCCGCACCGCCGCCCTCCTCCGCTCCGCCATCGGCTGAGGCTGCGGCAAGGCGGCCGCCAGCCCGTCCTTCCCGGACAGGATCGTCTCGAGCCTGGCCCGGTGGCCGTTCGGGATCCTGAGCGGCTCGAGGCCGTCCAACGCCGCCGTCGCCGCCTCGTCGCTCCGCGTCCGCCGGTGCCGCAGCGTCCCCGGCGGAGATCTCTTCACCTCCCTCTCCTCCTCCTCCTCCTCCTCCTCCTCCTCCTCCCGCTGCGACGCCACCGGCGGAGAGGCAGGCGCGACGTCCGCAGCAACAGCAGCAGGAGAAGAGGGCGAGAGGAGCACGAGGCGGCGGAACCAGCACGCGTCGTACAGCGAGAGGACGTCCTCCGCCGCAGCCGCAGCCGCAGCCGGCGGCAGTATCGCCATTCGGGGGCAAGGGAGAGCAGCAGAGAGAGGCGTGGGAGTCGGGGATTGGTTGGTTGGGTGAGTCGGGGATGGAGTGGCGGCGGGGCCGGGTTGTTATACAGCGCGCGTCGGTCGAGTCGGGTCGTGGGCTCTGGGTGGCGCGTCACACGGTATAGTATAACGCAGTTTTTTCGTACACGGGGAAAACGGGGTCAGCGACTCAGCGTGCGCGGAAAGCTTCCCGACTGCAGGTGGGACCAGATCTCCTCCATACAGGCAGAAGGTATTATACTACTAGTAGACAGTACTAGTACGAGTAGTATTATACAATTTTTATACTGCTCTGCTCTGCTGCATACTACGTATATATGTTGCCATGTAGGGATATGGGTGATGATGATGTATGTGCCTGTGTCATCTACGAAGCGTTCGTGTGGTGATTACGTCACGGTGGAATGGTTTATGCTGGCGGTGTGGAGACGTGGAGCAATGCATTGCGTCGTCTAGTCCACCGTAATTTCGTACTAGTACTACGTACTAGACCGCCCATTAGACTTTTAGCGGTTTTTTGCGTGTTAATCCGATCGACCCCATTGTGCTTGCAGGATACACGGGAACGGCATGCGTATGCTTCCAAATGCCACTCTTCTTCATAGGACAATTATTCGCTTGATAGACGGCTGACAAGTTCTTCCTTTATCGGTTACCACTGATTTAAGCTTCCTTCATAGAAATTTCCTGCGACTAATTAAAAAGCCCATTAGCTACTGTGTATTTTCGTCACGATGCAAATACTAGTAGCTAGGACATTCTGCTGCCTTGGATCATGACGTTCAAATGTTCATTTCTTGGCTAAAAGGCTTATCGATCACAAAATGGCACAATAACTACGGTGCTTGGATTTGGCTCATGTACTACTATTTTTTACTGTAGGGATTTGATGTAATTAAACCTCCCACAGTAAATCAAACGGTGCAGAATGCACGTAATGCCATGTGCTCTTCACCAGAGCAACCCATTCCGTCTGATATATATGCATCGCTGGCTAAGCTTAATATGTACCCTTCAATTTAGTTGTATGACTCTCATTGGGTCACCAATATGCCTTAACTTATTAACTATGAATGGTACCGACCCATGCAAAATTTAACCGAAATATATATGAGTAAATTTGTATCTCGACCGTATAGTGTACATATAACTTTTACTCCTTCTATATTCAACGAAATTGACACATCATGTATCAGTTTGTTAAAAAAAAAAGTTTGTATCTTGATATAGCTAGCTTGTGCATTCTGCGTGGGCACAACGCATGGAGGATATATATCCATGTCTTCCAAGGAGGGCCCAGACTGTGAATATAGATGAGGAGATCGATGCAACGCAAGATTATAAGTTATGGGTGTGTTTAGTTCACACTAAAATTAAAAGTTTGGTTAGGATTGGAACGATCTGATAGAAAAGTTAGAAGTTTGTGTGTGTAGGAAAGTTTTGATGTGATGGAAAAGTTAGAAGTTTGAAGAAAAAATTTGGAAATAAACAGGGCTAGGCTAGCTACTACCATGCATTGAATTTGAACCATGTCGTTTTTGCACGTACAAATATATGCTTCGATGGAGTAGTTTAATCTGGTCGTGGTCCTCGCTAATTCCGGTTGCTTTCTTGCTGAGTCATCCTTGTTCCTGGCTGTTGCCCATAATCAACGCATATGCAGGTGTACAACCAAGTACTGTTGCCCCGTTTCTATCGCGTAATGTGTGGAACGACACTGCACCCATGCCAACGTGGGATGCTTCCACTGTAGCCCAAGGGCCCACGCTGTGACAGCAAAGTAGCAAAGGGCCCACAAGTAACCACGTACGCATACGTAACGCTGATGCGAATATATATGTTTGTGAAAAGGAAAAGAGGGCCGCTACAAAACGGAATTCTGTTGCAACGAGATAGATATATTAACTATTCTCTTGCACGAGTATCACAGGTATCAAGTCCTAGGTATCACAGGTATCAGGTATCAAGTCCTAGGTATCACAGGTATCGGGTAACAGGTATCACAGGTACCGGGTACCATGCAGCTGGTACCCCAACAGGTATTAGGTACTTCCTCCGTTTTTTAATAGATGACGCCGTTGACTTTTTCTCACATGTTTGATCATTCGTCTTATTCAAAAATTTTATGCAAATGTATAAGATATAAATCACACTTAAAGTATTATGAGTGATAAAACAACTCATAACAAAAAAAAAATATAATTACGTAATTTTTTTTAATAAGACAAATAGTCAAACATGTGAGAAAAAGTCAACAGCGTCATCTATTAAAAAACGAAGGTAGTATCATGTAAGTCTTATATAATGGTATCCTGTTCCAACGGGATACCGTTGTCTAGGTTTTCTGAAAGGAAAATGGTTATTGGACGAGTCAACGAGGCTAATGAAAGCCTCAAACGCACGAAACTGTAGTATCAGACGAACGGTTGACACCGAGCTGTGATTGTCAATTGTCATGCATGCCAGCTCGGATGTTCCATACTGAAGAAGTATATATATGGATCTGATTGGGAAGTTTCAGGCGACTGCAGTTTCTCTCGATATCAAAACCTCCTAAATATATGAGCTTTTCGATTAGTTGCAACACCTTAAAAAAATGAACTATTTACTAAGAAGTAAGCTAGTTTTCTCAACTTCTTCATATTCTCACCATCTACTTCTCATAATCTAAAACTCCCCTAAACAATCCTAGGTCCTATTAAGATTTTCGATACTTTGATCCTATTAAGAAACTTATTTTACAAATGAATACCTAGACAAACTTATTCTATAAATGAACCCTTTTCTTAGTGCTAGTGACCCGCGAACCAAGGTTCAACGTATTGGGTGCCAACAACGCTGGTGTCGACACCCTCACTCTCCTATATCCATCAAGATGTACAAGAATCATGCTAAAGAGACTAGTAACAAGAACCTATATGTAATTTTTTTTTTTGAAAAAGGCCAAAATGTACTCCCTCTATCTCTAAATATAAGGGATTTTGGTTAGATGTAACGTATCCTATCACTACAAATCTAGACATGGAGTATATCCAGATTAATTCATAGTATTAGAATACATCCCGTTCACCTAAAATCCCTTATAGAGGGAATAAATATTTTCCTTACAAATAGGCTCTAATTAGCATGCATGGTATGGCCACCTAGTTTCGCCACACCACCAACATAGGCGTGGCTAGGGGTGGGCGTTCGGTCAGGACCGACATTTCGGTCCGGTTTTTTCGGTCTTAAAAAAGTTCGGTCTTTATAAAAAGGAACCGAACTTGTCACAAGAAACTTGTGGACCGACAGTTCGGTTAACTGATACTTTGGTCTCAGCCTTCGGTCTGACCGACCAGACCGAAGTCTCCTTTGTGGCACTGGATTGCAGACTTGCATATAGGGACGAGGGTGAGAAAAAAAATTAGTATGAGATGCTAGTCGAAGCAGGTAGTAAATCACAAGCATACACACGCAACTATTGCTCTTAAGCACAGAAACCCAGATCTGACAAAAATGGAATTCAATCGTTCAAGAAAATGGGATTCAATCATTCAAAGATTACGTGTTAGAAATCTGAAAAAAAAACAATCGAAGGATAGAGAGAGTATAGGAGAAACAATCATCAACGAGAGAGACAATCCTCTCGGCAGCAGGCCGCGGCGCTACTGACAATGGCGCTCAGGCTGCACACGCACAGCAGGCAGGATATGAACAAGACGACGACGATGACCTCACCGCTACCGTGCCGACGGAGACCCCTCAGCAGTAGCCACAGCCATCATCTTGTGCCGTCCTGCCATCAGATCTCGCGCTGCCTCGGTGGATCGGATGAAGCGCCGCCGCCAAAGACGGGAGGGAGCAGGCGCCAAGCCGCTAACCCTAGCACCGGCGGCGCTGCCTCTCTACTCCCCTTTCTTGTTTTTTTTTTTTTTAGAGATGTTGCCCTCCAGCTGAACGTATATGTGCTACGCTAATGGGCTTATGGGCCATATATACGTGAGCAAGAGAAGATATTGGGCCACTTCGGTATGTCCGGTTACTTCGGTCGGAAAGGGCTGATGACCGAATAAACCGAACTAAGTTCGGTCTTTAAAATCGTACAACCGAACTAGTGACCGAAGACCGTGATTTCGGTTTTTTCGGGTTCGGTCTTTTCGGGTCCGGTCTTCGGTCCTCGGTTTTTATGCCCACCCCTAGGCGTGGCAAGGGTCTTTCCACGTCAGCTAGGCTTGCCTGACAAAACAATACTGACACGCCCATTATGGGTGCGTTCGGAACCTCACTCCCTCGCACGAAAAACGGAGTAGCGATTAACGGGTGATTAATTAAGTATTTGCTATTTTTTTTAAAAAAATAGATTAATATGATTTTTTAAGCAACTTTTGTATAGAATTTTTTTTGAAAAAATACACCGTTTAATAGTTTAAAAAGCGTGCGCGCGAAAAACGAGGGAGAGAGGTTGGGAAAGGGAGGGAACGAACTGAGCCTATAGGTAGCATGGCAGTGTTATTTCACCATGCCACTGAGACTGACGTGGCCAAAGGGTTCCAAATTGAAAATAAATTTTGGGGGGATCTATTTTAAAAATAATAATTAAAAAAGATTCAAGAAATAATAAAAAATCTATAACTGAAGCAGTCCTAGCTATAGACATCAAGGAATTACGGACCAGGTCCCACAAGAATATAAATATTCGATTTGCCCCTAAGTTAACAGCTAGCAACACGTGCCTGACTAGTACAGTCGTTGCCTAGCTACGGCGGCATATATCTCAAGAGTATATGAGACCCGGCCCATCGCCTGTGTCATGCAGAGCTAGCAGCAGCTGGTTTCTAGCTTGGCTCGCACGTACTTGGTCGCTGGATCGATCGTCAAGTGGCAAAAACAAGGGGCGAGACGTACGTAGGCAAATGTGTTCCTTGTAACGCAGAGGGAGAAGAATAATCCCAAGTCCAACGTCGCGTGACCGCACCGCACGAGGCGATTAATTAACAATTCCGTCGTGGTTGCATGCATGCATTCCGCATGCGCCGCTCGGGTGCTACACTGATCAGTGATCAGTAAGTACTTCCTCGGTTTTATTTTCTTCATTCTAAAATATACATGACGTCATTGACATTTCATATAGTTATTTATATTATTAAAAATTTTAGTATAAATATGTAAAAAAATATAATTTAAAATTATAGTTTCTTTGATGATAAACAAGTCACTGTAAAATAAAATAAATGATATTTATATATTTTTAATAAGATGAATGGTAAAACATTGTACGAAAAATCAACGGCGTCATGTATTTTAGGATGGAGTGAGTACTTCCTCCTCTCATAAAAAAACAATCTACTGGATGTGATATATTCTAGTACAATGATCTGGATAGACATCCAATACTAGATTCGTTTTTTCGGGACAGAGAGAGTAACGTATATTATAAGAAATTTTGTTTTTTTAAAAGTAAAACTTTATTAAATTTGATCAAATTTATTAAAAGATGTAGTAACTCTCACATCACTAAACTAATCATGTTAAATCGAACGTTGAATGTTTTTGATAGTTTGTTTGTTTGTTGTCGAAAGTATTGTTGTGTTTTGTATAAATTTGGTTATTTTTTAAAATAGTAAGTTAGAAAAAAATTTGAAACGTAAAACGGAGAGGTGACTAGGCGACTAGCTAGTAGTACTAGTACTGATATTATTACTTGGCTCCGTACGTACGTGGAGAGTCAAATGGAATCAGAGACTGTCCAAAATGAAACAACACGCATGCTAAAAACGGTTATTATTCATTAATTATAGCAAGAGCGTTGAATGTTTTGTCTTTCCATTACGCCTAACTACCGAAAGTATATACTGTATCTTCGTATATACCGAAAGTATATACCGTACGTACGTGCCATTACTAGCGAAACCATCTTTTGTCAGGTTGGCCAAAATCCACAATAGCCCCAATTTAAATAGGAACCGGGACTATCATGATTTTAGGGCACGGATAAAGTTAGGGGATAGACGGGAAAATGTAATTACCCGCCTATCTTGAGAGTGAGCTCAAAAGACAAATGCCAAAGTCAATAAATGTACTTTTTCTATATTGAACTCGTCTCATGCTTACAAGATCTTTTGGCTTAAATAGTGTTCAACCGTATGTCCAAGATTTACAAGTTTGCCATTACATGCTTATATGAAGTTACCATTTTACCCCTATAAAGTTTATGACCTATATGGGCATTTTGGCACATTCTGGTGGTCCCTAGTGACATTTGGTGCCAACTGGTGACAGTGCAAGTTGAGGTGGTCCCATGGTACTTTCCAAAGTAGACCATTTGCTGGATGGCACTTTTCCTCAACTTCATGTGCTTGAGTGAGATCACCAGTGCCGGGGCTCGAACACGTTCTCCCACCTTTCAAGCTCCTTGTCACCTTAACTTGTCTGAAACACGGCTTCATTAGTGATGTTAGTTTGAGCAAGTAACTTTACTCAAATGCATTTTCCTTGGGACGAAACCTTTATGGTGAATACAGATTCCCAGACCTAAAACTACTTTTTGGGTGGAAACTTCATTCGAGCCAATAATTGACTCGAACACATTTTTCTTCTTGACATATGTTTTCGGCCTGGCATGGGGGATGGTATTTACCCCCTGCTACAACAAGGACTAAAGAATATCATTCGTCCCGGTTCAAAAGGTCAGGGGTACTTTTTGGTCTTTAGTGTTACCAACCGGGATTAAAGATTATTTTTAGTCCTGGTTCAAAACATGGCATGCGGTGTCAGCACCCCTTCATTATTTTTAGTACCGGTTGAGATAACACCAACCGGGACTAAAGATCTATTTTTAGTCCTGGTTGTTAAACAATCGGGACTAAAAATCGGCCCCAAGACGCGCGATACTCGTCCGCTCACGTCCTTCCTTGATACTTCCACCTTATCTCCTTTCTCCTCCTCTCCTCCCCCTCATTCACTCACCCCCGTTACCCCTCCCCTCTCCTCCCCTCTTCTCCTCCGGCCCCCTCCCCTCCCGTCTCCTTCCCCTCCTCCCCTCCCCTCCCCTCCGGCTCCCTTCCGGCGGGCGGCGGCGCCCAGGCAGCATGCGACGGCGGAGCGAGCCGGCCACGCGGCGCGGCGGCCCACGCGGGGGCGGTGGCGCGAGGGGTGCGAGGGCGGCGGCGGCCTCCCCTCCGCCGGATCCGAGAGGGGAGGCGGCCGGGCGGTGGCGCCGAAGCGAGCTGGCCGGGCTGTAGCCGGCGGAAGGCGGGAGGCCGGCGGCGGCTGTGGAGTTGATTCATAGTGAATGATTTGTAATTTTTTTCTTTTGTTGATTTGGGGATGATTTTTTGATTGATTTGTGGATTGTGGATGGGCATGTATTGTGGATGGTTGTGTATGATTTGTGGATGGTTTTTTGTGGATGATTATGTATGATTTGTGCGGATTTGGGTGTGATAGCGATTGTGGTCGTGGTGCAAACATCATAAAAACAATGGAAATAAAAAGAAAAAAAAATCCTTTAGTCCCGGTGAGTAACATCTCCTTTAGTCCCAGTTGGTGACTAAAGATTGATCTTTAGCCCCGGGTATTTAAATCGGGATTAAAGATAGCGATCTTTAGTCTCGAATTCATAGTCCTAGTTGGCTACCTGAGACTAGAAAGTGTTTGTGCAACACTGTGTTCTTGTTAATTGGGGAGTGCGTTACTTTACGTACTACTCATGCAAAGAACAGTATCACGCAAGTCAGACATGTAATTAATTAATATATTCTATAAATACGTAAACTTATTATTCTTGAGTTTTCAGGTCATAGTTTACATATAACTAACATAGTAGGCCGTGCAAATTGTGTGGCTATCATCTTTATGTTTTGTCTCATATAACTAGCAAAAGTGCCCGTGCGTTGCAACGGGAAGTGTAAAGACCGGAAAATTGAGGAAAGGTTGAGAAATATTTACATTATGTAATTAATTGAAATACAAATTTCCTGAAATATCTGGGTATTTTTTAAGTAGGTAGGTGTATAATTAAATTAGTTCACAAGTAAAGTAAGTGTGAGAAATAAAATGATATGGTTGGAATTAATTTTATTAAATTCCCCATGATTAATTACGCTCTTTGGAATTTTATTGGAATTTCTAGAACTTAATTGCTAATTTTGATAATACAAACATCATTTCAACATTTATTTAAATAAAAATTTAAATAGAAATATTCCTTTCTCTCTAGGCCATTTTCAGCCCATTTTATTCGAAAGGATTTTTTTGACAAACTAGTTGGGTGCCCATGCGTTGCAATGGGAAGAAAAATATGCATCAATTTCAAATCACCAGGTAAAATGATGTTACATAAGTATTAAGTATAATTTCATTGCAACGGGAAACCTTGATATAACAAAAACAACTATGTCCATTCTTTATATTTTGTTCATACGGAGTACATTACCAACGAGAACAAAAAAAGTTTCTGCAAAGACAACTTTGTATCGACATTGTAGGTTGCTGAAAAAAAAATCTGTGTTACTTTGTTTCTTCTACAGCTTGATCTGGTTTGATAGAAGAAAAATACAAAATGTAAACAGCAATGGAATCTGTGAGAAACTGAACATCATTCGAAATAGCGTCAGCCCACTCAAGCAAACTGTGTTAGTACATAAAAATGTTTGCAGTTCAGAGCAAACTTAAAAACATTTCCCCTAAATACATAAATGAAATCATACTATCTAACATAGAAACAAGTCTCTACATATCACTTGCATTAGTACAATGGATTCAATTGATTCCCTTAATTTTCAATGCAAGCGTCCGGCAAAGAGACATCAAGGTGGTGCACAGGGACAGCAAACAGACCCAAATTCACATGCACTTCATAATTATACATCTAACATGATATAATTCTGCGTCTTGACTCGCTATACTGATAAATCAAATCAGTAGGGCATAAACCACTTTACCCTGTGCACCTAACACAGATGGTAAGATCACTTCTTTTTGTATATAGAAATTAGAAAGTTACCTTTCTCTTGGTCTTTGGTAATGTCCACTTCTCCAAATAAACTTACAACTGTGTCAGAAGAAAGCAAAAAAGGCATATAAGGATTTAGTTTTTCTAAATTTTTTCAACAGCATGTACATTCTTTCCAGTGTTTTCCCCAAACTGATAGTTAGGTGTCCATGCTTAATTTACAATCACAATATTTCCAAGAGTTGCTTGATGAAATACCTGCGCGCCGTGGATTTCCCTAAATCGTCATAGCTCCTATGATACCACTTCCCTGCATGTATAATAAATTTAAATATATTCTCCACAAACTAAATGCAGCTATGTACCCCTATAAGAGAAACTAAGGATGGCTTTTATAAAAAAAAGAAACCAAAAACCGCATACTGATGATCTTTAAATAAATAAAACATTGTATGGAAGCACACACAACATTGGTGATGTCTGCTAATGCACAAGTAGCTTTAACTATAAGTGCGCATAGGGTCTCATATCACATTAGGAAAAGAGCAACTTTCATATATAAACAGATGGAATCACATTTTTGGCCCCATCAGGGAATGGCAAACACTAAATCAGGGCCAGGCTCTGAAAGATATATGGCTGCCCTGACAAAACATGCCGTTGCCAGTTGCCGAACTCCAAATTAGGTGCTTACAATTTACAAGATCAAAACTGATTGCTCTATCGGAACTATGGACAGCACAGATAAAATAATCCATGAGTGGCATTTTACTGGGTTAAAGAAGCCGATGTTGGATGAGCAGGTGTGATTCACTGTATCATTGGGGATTTCGACACTGGATTCTAAAGTTTTTCCATGAACAGAGTGGCAGATTGTTTCTGCGGCATTCAATCGAACACCTCATGTGCATGGGCAAAATAGCCTTACTCGTTCATTGCAATCAAAATCAAATGGGCAGTAGAAGTCAAAATAGTTTGCTCATCACAATCAAAATCAAATCGGAAGGGAGAAGAGATTGAAAGACAACAATAGAGAAAACTTGCTGTACAGCTCTGCTGGCCTCAAACCACATCTCCGCTTGGTCTCGGCATTGTAGCAGCGTGAACCCCTTTCCTCAACGCTCGGGAAGAAGATGTCGACGACCGTGGCGGAGGTGACGGCTGAGGGGATAAGCGACGAAGCAGAGGAGGCGAGCGGCAGGCGATGTAGTGCGGAGGCGACGAAGAGAAATCGGGCGTCTGTTAAAGGAAGACGTGGGTTAAAATGTTAAACATGTGATCCGAATTTTGGGCCCATAATATATTCGGATTAGTTTTTTAGTAGGAGTTTCTATTAGGTGTCTTTCTTTTATCCTCTATATATACTTTCGTAAGCCGTACGGGAAGGGTGACGTTCCCATTGTGATTCCTCTACGTTTGTAATCAACATCTTTATAGTGGTTATTGTCGGTCGGCGCATGTGGTTTTCTCCGTAAGGGTTTTTCACGTAAAATTCGTGTCTCTGTTGTGTATCTATATTTATAATAAGTGGTATCAGAGTATTGGAGATAGAACTAGTGATTCCCAGCCACCGGTGTTTTTCCGTTCGAAGAAATCGATCTAATCGGCAGCACGTGTCGTCGTGTTCGTCGTTCCGCCGAATCAAATCTGTTCTGCACGCTACCCGTCGACTCCGAGTCGGCCTCGTCCCACGCCTGAGCGAGAAGATCAAAGCAGCAGCAGCCGCCCAGGCGAAGCAGAGAGAAACCAGGAGGAGGAGCAGCGTCCATACCATCCAGCAGCACGCGTCCCGAGGAGAAAAAGAAAATAGGGCAGCCGCCTGCCTGCCTGTTCACGTGATTTTTATTCACGTTGAATTGCTACACGCACACAAGCTTGTGTACCAGGAAGTTTCAGATCTACGCTACATGCACACAGACAGTGCACCTAGAGGTTCGCGTTTTTGCTAGGTTTACCCTAATTTCTTTATTGCAAATTTAGGATTAATTCTCATGGCGAGTTTGAAGTATGATCTACCGCTCCTGGACCGAGACACAAGATTCTCACATTGGCAAGTGAAGATGCGAGCCGTTCTTGCACACCAAGACCTCGATGATGCGCTTTCTGGATTTGACAAGAGGACACAGGATTGGTCCAACGATGAGAAGAAAAGGGATCGTAAGGCTATGTCATATATTCATCTTCATCTATCTAATAATATTTTGCAGGAGGTGCTTAAGGAGGAGACAGCCGCTAGGCTGTGGTTGAAGCTGGAACAGATATGCATGACCAAGGATCTGACCAGTAAGATGCACCTAAAGCAAAAGTTATTTTTGCACAAGTTGCAAGATGATGAGTCCGTGATGGACCATCTCTCCACTTTCAAGGAAATTGTTGCTGACCTTGAGTCTATAGAGGTAAAGTATGATGAAGAGGATTTATGCCTTATTCTATTGTGTTCATTGCCTAGCTTATATGCAAACTTCAGAGATACTATACTTTATAGCCGTGATACTCTAACTTTGAAAAAAGTTTATGATGCTTTGCATGCCAAAGAAAAGATGAAGAAGATGGTACCCACTGAAGGTTCAAATCACAAGCAGAAGGCTTGGTTGTTCGGGGCAGGCAACAGGAGAATAACACAAAGAACCAATCAAGAGATAAAAGCTCAAGTAGCTACCGTGGGAGATCAAAGTCCAGAGGCAGGTATAAGTCATGCAAATACTGCAAGAGAGATGGACATGATATCTCTGAGTGTTGGAAGCTACAGGACAAAGACAATAGAACCGGAAAGTATATACCAAAAGGTAAGAAAGAAGAGTAAGGTAAAGCCGCAGTTGTTACTGATGAGAAGTCTGATGCAGAATTGCTTGTTGCTTATGCTAGTTGTGCACAAACTAGTGACCAGTGGATTCTTGATACTGCATGCACCTATCACATGTGCCCGAATAGGGATTGGTTTGCCACCTATGAAGCTGTCCAAGGTGGTACTGTTTTGATAGGTGATGATACACCATGCGAAGTTGCAGGTATTGGAACAGTTCAGATCAAGATGTTTGATGTCTGTATCAGAACATTGTCAGATGTGCGGCATATTCGAAATTTGAAGAGAAGTCTCATCTCTTTATGTACTCTTGATTGCAAAGGATACAAATATTCCGGTGGAGACGGAACTTTGAAGGTAACTAAAGGCTCTCTTGTTGTGATGAAAGCTGATATTAAATCTGCCAACCTGTACCATCTGCGAGGTACAACTATATTAGGTAATGTTGCAGCAGTTTCTAATTCATTATCTAATTCAGATGCTACTAATCTTTGGCATATGCGTCTTAGGCATATGAGTGAAATTGGTTTGGCAGAATTGAGCAAGCGAGGATTGCTAGATGGACAAAGCATCGGGAAGCTCAAGTTTTGTGAGCATTGCATCTTTGGCAAGCATAAGAGGGTGAAGTTCAACACATCTACACATACTACTGAAGGTATTCTTGATTATGTGCATTCTGATTTATGGGGGCCTACTCGTAAGACATCTTTTGGAGGTGCTCGTTACATGATGATTATCGTTGATAATTAGTCGCGAAAAGTTTGGCCTTATTTCTTGAAGCACAAATATCAATCTTTTGATGTGTTTAGAGAGTAGAAAACTATGGTTGAAAGACAAACTGAAAGGAAGGTGAAAATCCTTCGTACTGACAATGGGATGGAGTTCTGTTCTAAGATATTTAAATCATATTGCAAGTCTGAAGGCATTGTGCGTCACTACACCGTTCCTCACACACCTCAAAAAAACGGCGTAGCTGAGCGTATGAACGGGACAATTATATCAAAGGCCCGTTGTATGTTGTCTAATGCAGGTTTGCCTAAACAGTTTTGGGCGGAAGCCGTTTCCACTGCTTGTTATCTTATCAATCGATCACCCAATTATGCCATTGATAAGAAGACTCCAATTGAGGTATGGTCTGGTTCCCCAGCAAATTATTCAGACTTAAAAGTATTTGATTGTACTGCTTATGCTCATGTTGATAATGGTAAATTGGAGCCTAGAGCTATTAAGTGCATTTTTCTTGGTTATCCGTCTGGTGTGAAAGGCTATAAGTTATGATGTCCTGAAACAAAAAAGGTTGTGATTAGTAGAAATGTTGTCTTCCATGAATCAGTTATGTTACACGACAAACCTTCTACTAATGTTCCTGTTGAGAGTCAGGAGAAAGCAAGTGTGCAGATGGAACACTTGATCAGTTCAGGGCAGGCACCAAAAAATGAAGTTGTTGTTATTGACCAAGATGCACCTGTTATTGAAGATACAAATTCTTCTACTGTTCAGCAGTCTCCAAAACATTCTATTGCAAAAGATAAGCCCAAAAGAAATACTAAACCTCCTCAAAGATATATTGAAGAAGCGAACATAATTGCTTATGCTTTGAGTGTGGCAGAAGAAATTGAAGGTCATGCCAAACCTTCTACATATTCTGAGGCTATTGTTTCTGATGATTGCAATAGATGGATAACTGCTATGCATGATGAGATGGAGTCACTTGAAAAGAATCATACTTGGGAATTGGTGAAGTTGCCAAAGGAGAAGAAACCTATTCGTTGCAAGTGGATCTTCAAAAGAAAGGAAGGTATGTCTCCAAGTGATGAGGCAAGGTACAAAGCAAGGTTAGTTGCTAAAGGTTATAGCCAGATTCCAGGTATTGATTTCAATGATGTCTTTTCCCCTGTTGTGAAGTATAGTTCAATTCGTACTTTACTCAGTATTGTTGCAATGCATGATTATGAACTAGAGCAAATAGATGTTAAGACTGCATTTTTACATGGGGAGTTAGAAGAGGACATTTATATGGAGCAACCTGAAGGTTTTGTTGTTCCTGGAAAAGAGAACCTAGTATGTAGGTTAAAGAAATCTCTTTATGGGTTGAAGCAGTCACCTAGACAGTGGTATAAGAGATTTGACTCTTTCATGCTTTCTCAGAAGTTTAGAAGATCCAATTATGATAGCTGTGTTTATCTCAAAGTTGTTTATGGTTCAGCTATATATTTGCTTCTTTATGTCGATGATATGTTGATTGCTGCAAAAGACAAATCAGAAATAGCAAAGTTGAAGGCACAATTGAGTAGTGAGTTTGAGATGAAGGATTTGGGTGCAGTGAAGAAAATTCTCGGTATGGAAATTACTAGAGAAAGACATTCTGACAAGTTATATCTTAGTCAGAAAGGTTATATTGAAAAAGTTCTTCGTCGTTTCAATATGCATGATGCAAAACCAATGAGTACTCCTTTAGCTGCAAATTTCAGATTATCTTCAAATTTATGTCCACGGTCAGATTATGATATTGAGTACATGTCTAGAATTCCTTATTCAAGTGCATTTGGTTCACTTATGTATGCCATGGTATGTTCTCGTCCTGACTTATCACATGCATTGAGTGTTGTCAGTAGATACATAGCTAATCCTGGCAAAGAGCATTGGAAAGTTGTTCAATGGATTTTCAGATACCTACATGGTACATCTAGTGCTTGTTTGCAGTTTGGGAGATCTAGAGATGGACTTGTTGGTTATGTGGATTCAAATTTTGCTGGATATTTGGATAGGAGAAGATCGCTCACAGGTTATGTTTTCACTATTAGAGGATGTGCTGTTAGTTGGAAGGCAAGTTTGCAAGCAACTATTGCCTTATCTACTACTGAAGTAGAGTATATGGCTATCTTGCCAGTTCCTGCTACTAAGTTTGAGCTTTGCTCAAGCTTGGTGGGTGTTACAGTATAGTCCTAGAGACTATTTGGCGCGCGGTGATTTTACCTACATGAGGTATTCTTTGGTGATTGATGTTTTTCATGCTACAAGAGGAAATTTGTTTTAAGGTGGAGATTGTTAAATATGTGATCCGAATTTTGGGCCCACAATATATTCGGAATAGTTTCCTAGTAGGAGTTCCTATTAGGTGTCTTTCTTTTATCCTCTATATATACTCTTGTAAGCCGTACGGGAAGGGTGACGTTCTCATTGTGATTCCCCTGCGTTTGTAATCAACTACTCTATAGTGATCATTGCCGGTCGGCTCCCGTGGTTTTTTCCGCAAGGGTTTTCTACATAAAATTCGTGTCTTCATTGTGCATCTATTTTCATAACAACATGGGCAAAATTAGCATGCAAAGAGTTTATCGTTTGAGTTAATAACATGCACATAGCTAACCTGATTTTGTACTTGATGGTGTGGAGCCCCCAACAATCTTATCCATTTTTGAAAATAAATGAGATGATAGATCAAACATTATGAATTTGTGAAATAACCAACATAAACATGCAGTGCACATGTTTCATTGATGACGAGTATAGAGTCTTATTATGCATTTGTTTGATAGTTCAAAATAGAGATAAAATAGTGAACAAAAATGAATATTAAAATACTCCCCGGCGTACCTTTGAGCTGGATTTTTGGGGGAGATTGTCTCAGATGAAGGCAGATCACGAGCTGTCAGCGAGCAACAAGAAATAATTAGGAAATTCAGTCCACGGCAATTAAGAGCTCGAAATGACACACATTTTCCTCTCTGTATATATGTGAATAAAAATGTAAATCAAATTTGACATCTTAAAGGAAAAATACTATCACTGCAGAAATGAAACATTTTCGAAGGCAGGAATTATCACTGCGCAAATTAGAACTTTGTACTGGTGGTCATTTCATACTGCCTCTACTTGACATTATCATGATGGTCATATGAATATACCATATTAATCCACCCAAGATTCCTAGCCAAGGTGGCTCCCATGATATATAGAGAACCAAGAAAAAGTGGATAATTGTGTTTTCAGATTTGGGAGATCCAAGCACCAATCAGTTTTGATTCAAATCATTTCTCTATCACTACTCTCCGTGCATGCAAAACATGTTCTTTCAATGCCAATTACGTACTATAGTGAAACATCAAAATCACCTCAGAAAGATATGCATATTTTCCTATGTACAGCAGGATAATAATCGACAAGCAAAATATGTGTATATTTTGCTGATTTTAATGGAACACACATCATCCTGATCAGATATATTTACTGCATGAATAAATGGAAGAGCCTAAGAAGATGTGTATTCAAGAGAGAGAGAGAGAGGGGGGGGGGGGGGGTTGGAGAGAGGCAGGAGGGGATCTGTACCTATAGAGGGGCAGTAGTGACCGGCGGAGGTGGCGGCGGCCTGGACGGTGGAGATCCAGATCGGTGTACGGGCGGCGTGGAGCCGGCAAAATGGCGTTGATGGGGAGGACCGCGCGGGAGAGGGAGAAGGCAACGGCGTTCCCCTGCTCCCACGGAAGCGGCGTCGTGGAGGCGGTGATGGAGGGACCATGCGGGAGGGAGAAGACCGCGGCGTCTCCGCAATCCGTAGCGCGGAGGCCTCCTTCTCCCGATGCGGCGACGCCGGTGTGGAGGTGGTGGAGTCGGGGAAAGTGGGGGGTAGCGACGACGGCGTGGAGGCTGTGACGGTTGGACGACGTGGGGGAAAAGCGGGGAGGGAGAGCGACGGCGGCGACGCTGGCTTGGAGGCGGTGGAGTCGGGGAAAATAGGGGGCGGCGACGGTGGTGTGGAGGCGATGGCGGTTTGAGGGTGTTGGGAGAAAGGGGATGGGGGAGGTGGGAGGGGGGGGGGGGAGTGGGTGGCGGAGGATCGATCTGGATCACTGGATGTGTCTGCCAGGGTTGAAGTCACTGCCACCACTACGAAATTTTATAGTAGAGATTTGGAACGAAGCGTTCGAGATGCACATACATTTCGAGCCTGATTGAGATGTTCAAAGTCGACAAAATTCGTTTGAAATTACCCTTTCAGATCTAGCTGTCTGGAGCAAAGCGTGCAGTACTATTATATATTTTCATTCATGCATGTTTTGACATGATCAATTGTCAATATATTTCTTTTTTCTACTCCAAAGCCTTTTTATTAGCTCTATACCTATTGGGGAGGTCGAAGAGATATAAACCATTTTTATTATATAAATTAAAATAGTATCAATATATTGACATACTGAAGATGTCAGCACCATAGGGTCGATGGCAGTATGGATGACCATGCTGAGCACATCAAATTATAAATGGATGATGACTTTTAATCAATGGTTGATTGGAGACAAGTCTGCTCTTTATTAATTACCAAATGCCTGCAGATCGAGGGCAGATAATTAAAGTTGCATGGAATCGGTCGGTTCTTGAAAACGAATATGGTGGTCGATCGACGTTGAAAAAGAAGATGATAAAAGGATTAGAGATAAACTGAAAGTGTCGTGTACTTGTCGTTGTCGTAGCTAAAATTAGTTCTAAATGAAAGTGCACGTGCGAATAAAAAAGTGCACCACACGTCCTTCAGCGGAATGCTAGCTGCTTTCTCGATTTGTATCTGCGAGAAACATGAGCTGATTTGAACTTGTTCTAATTTCATTCCTTCTCGGATAGGTTTGACTTGATATACGTTCGTGGAAGCCCGGAATCAAGTCTGAACTTTGAAGTCGGACACTTTCTCAACCCTTTATAACTTTCGAAGATTTTTTTTTAAAAAAGGAGCTAGATTAGATGATCAAATCATTTAATTTCTTGCAAAGAATATGGTTCAGTTTAATTTCAAATGTTAGCGTGTGCAGCATGCGTATATATATAGTCTTATAGCAGCCGGACTGATGTGCTTTATGAACCACTGCCTCCATAAACGTGCTTTAAACAAATTCTCAAACGAATCCTCGATGATATTGAAACAAAGTAGGAGTAATTAAGACATAATCACGTGATGAGGACTAGAAAAAGATACGATCACGTGAGTCATGCATGTGGTTCGCAAGGCCAAGGGGACTTGCATCCTCTGATTTTATTTGTTAAAAATGAAGCAAAAAGAAAAGTCAGACTTGCGCTGCTGAAGCAAACCTTTGAATTTAGCATCAACTCCACTGCTTTCAGCATAATCCAGATGAATCAACTCAACATTCGTGGGAAATATTTTGTGACACAGCCCCACCCAAGTACACTCACCTGCACCAAATTCCCCGTGCCTTGGCCTGGTGGGCCATATATGTATCCTGGCCTCTTGGCGCTTTGCAGCCTTGCAGGGTTAGTTTCAGGGCTCGGTTTTAGGAAGAGGTATACTTTGGCTCCCTTAACTATGATTCGACTGTATGATTCATGGCCTCCACCCATGAAACAAGGTACTTCATCCGTTTCACAATGTAAGTTATTATAGCATTTTCCACATTTATATTGATGTCCATGAATCTAGATAGATATATATGTCTAGATTCATTGACATTAATATGAATGTGGGAAATGCTAAAATGACTTACATTGTGAAACGGAGGGAGTATATGACTGATCTCAAACCCTCGGGGTTGGCTAGCTGGCGCATGCGCACCGCTAGCGCGCACTCCCCTTAAGGCCTTAACTATCTCTATTAGTTAGTAACACTTTAACACTAATGATAGTAATTATGAAAAATTCTGAAGATTTTTTTACTAACAGATTGAAAATTTTTCAAGTTAAATTTGAAAACTTTCGATTTAAGATTTAAATTTTAAAGTCAAATTTTGAAACTTTTAACTCAGATTTGAAAAATTTCAACTCGAAATTTGAAAACTTTCAACTTAGATTTGAAAACTTTCAAGTCTAGATTTGAAAATTTTCAACTTTCAACTTGAGATTTGAAAATTTTCAGCTTTAGATTTGAAAACTTTAAACTCAAGATTTGAAAACTTTCAAATACAAATTTGAAAATTTTTAAGTTAAGATTTAAAAATTACTAGTAAAAATAGGAAACTAATCACTAGTAAACTAATTATGATTTTTTCTCCTACCCGTGCGGCAGCAAACTGCGAAAAAATAAAAAAGAAATAAAAAAGAAGAAACAGCGATAGCAAACTACGCTAAAGAAAAAGAAAAAAAGAGAAAAGAAACACGCGCACGTGCGTGGGCTGGAAGTGCGCACCGGCAACGTGCGCGCGAATTAGCGTTTCTGCAAACCCTCTCTTCAAATCTTAATACAATTTGGGTGGCCGCCTTGGCCCGTCCCGGCGCAAAAAAAAAAAAAAGAACTGATCTCCATCGTTAGTTTGCACATTCCAATTGGAACGTACTCCGTACTATAGAACTGCACATAGAAAGCGTACATGCATGCAACACCACAGGACCAATGTTTGTGTGAACTAGAAATCACCAGAATTGCAAATGTGGATTGCTGGGCAAATCTCCTTTGGCAGAGAGAACAAGCTAGAGCAAGAGGTTGAAGTGAAGTGTGCAATCTGATCACCTCTGCCCAAGGAGACATGGCCCGGTAATCCACCACTCGCAAGCATCCATATGCATGCGCACTCCTACACTTTTACACCTGGACTCTGTTTCCTCGGCTTGTTGAATATGCGAAGTTGTAACCATTGGGTATTTATATCAATTGCAGAATGGCAAATTGGCTGGTGTTGAAGCTGCAGGTGTTCGCATATCCGGTTATGCTTTCTCCTCGGAGCCGCTTGCTTTCGGCACTTGGATCCCAAGCATATTTTCCAAGGCACCCCTGGCATCTTCCTCGTGTTTCATGTATATATGCTTTTCTTGCAGCACAGGTAGAAATTAAGCTATGTATGTATTATTAACATGTTGTAGTAGTTATTATCAGGTCCTATGTGCTGTTTGGGCCTCTTGAATTCTCTGGCATATGGCTTGCATGGTTGTATAAAACAAGTGTTTCCTGCCTCAATATATTTTTGATAAGAGAACGTGTACTACTCTGAGGACACAATGGATAGTAGAGTTTTCACCATTCCTACATATCTTTTGATTATATTCTCACGATTTTGCTCTCAAAAAAATTGAGAATCTAGTAGAGTTTTGTTCATTCAATTGCATTTCGACCTGGAGCTCTACCAAACAGTCCTATGGTGTTACTTGTTATACCTAATCGGAGACTCTGAATTTGTGAGAAGGGACCTCTACACTATGCTCTATGCATAAGTGGGTTTTGATTTTTAGCTTGATGTTTTCTATCATGCTTTGTTATACTTAGTCAATTTCGATGCTATAGCGCATTACAACATTTTCTTGAAACTTTGTAATAATGTAGGTTGTGTGCACTTCATGGTGTATGGTTGGGATGTTCTCCCATTGCCTCAAAAAAAATATATGCCTCTAAGATTTTCTTTTTTGCACTTGTCATTTCCTTGCCAATATCTGTTTCTCCTCTACTTGTAGTTACTATACTTCAAAAGGGACCGCAATTCTAAAAAATAACAAATGTCAACAACTAGCCGGATTCTTTGCTGTATTAAGAAAAGATAAAGCTCTAGGAATAGAATGCAAATTGATCATGTGTCAATCAGGACCCAAGATCAGATAATGTTACGCGGCCTTTCGACACCTGCAGCAGCACAAATGTAAAAGCCCAGTGCTCTGAAGAAGAACCAGATACCTGTTGGATTCTCCAAATGAAGGGGGCAGCTTGCAATAGCATCTCAAAGGGGGAAGATCCATGGGGATGTTCCTGGACAAAGCATAATATCAGGGAGCCTACAGCATCACATCGAAAATCCAAAACAATCTGGTTGTTTGTTCATTGAGTACATGTATGTGTGATAATGTGATCAGGAAGTAGCCTGAATTGATAAAAGAAGATGTCAAATAAGTACATATATATATTACCCATAAAGTATGAAATTTGCAAGTATTTCCAAATAATGCATGACCAGGCCTTGGAAACCTCAAATCTGAGCTAGTAAATATCATGGTTAATAGAGATTACTAACACCTTTACTGTAAGTCTGTAACTAACTAGAACTAATGTTTCGCAACAAAAAAAAAAGAATAGAACTTATGTTCATTACATCAGTATGTTTTCAGTAATGAGTTTGTCAAGGTCCACTAGAATGACACAGAAGGTATTGTAGAACAAAATCCTAAATCTAATAGAGGTCTAGAACTAGAAAACCAGCTTTCATCAGATAAGAGAATTTAAGATTTAATTCTGTAACCAGATTTTTGGTTGGTCTCTAATGCAAAGTGTATCACATTAACTGCAGACACAGATCTCTTTTAGTAGTCAAACTTTTCTTACTAGCAGCAGTGACAGGGAATAACAAAAGCAAAAGAAATTTTATACCTTTAGGATGAGATGGCAATAGCACTAGGCTCATTCTGTTTCTATGGTTAATCTAAAAAAGGAGAGGAAATATGGGAAAGGCAGGCCTAGAGAGGAATACCTCCTGAAAGCATTGTCCTGATTTGGAAGCATATCCAACAGCATATCCAGATTGTGCTTGCCAATCTCTGCACTATATATGTTCCATGGCTGCATACTGCTCAATGCAAGAACAAGATCTTACATGAAAGAGAAGCATGAAGAGCAATCTAGGACAGATCAATGGCCTTTCTGAAAAAGAAAGAAACCAGTTAATTGTGGCTATGGTGTTTTCAGGGTGAGAATCACAGTGCAGTTCTCCTCTGGCATGGATGCCAACGTAGCAGGCGTTAGACTACGTACATTGCTATTGTCATCCCTGCCAAAGGAGAATTGCCCTGCCATTCAGCATAAACCCTGCTTTTTATCTGTTACTGCTGCACATTTGTGTTTGCAGGTTGAAGTGGGAGAGAGAGGATGTGATGATTGAAGTTTTGAATAAGATGACCTTTGCATTTTGGATTTGGATCTTATCATATTTCAGAACAGTGGAAAAGTCAAATAAGAAGAGTGTTAAGCTTTTTATCATTCTGGCATCGATCTATTTTACCATAAACTATGGATTTTTTTTTGACAAAACCTATTATCTATGGAAATCATTGTTGCCCTGAAAGGTGTTGTCCAACCACAAAGTAGTGGCTGCAAGAGCAGAATTTTTTTGAGAATTAATATTATTTTTATGGAAAATCGCAAAAGTAGTGGCTAACCGGGGAAAATCGCGAAAGTAGGTCCCTGTCGAACGGGTGCAATTCGATAGGGCACCTATCGAACGACGGGCAGTCGACAAAGCCCTGTCGAACGGTTGGCGTTCGACACGCTCACCTGTCGAACGGAGGGAGTTCGACAGGGCCCACCACCCGGCGCCGCGAGGCCTGTCGAACCGGGGGCGTTCGACAGGGCCCTCCACCGACCCTGTCGAACAATGGGCGTTCGACAGGCCGGCTTAAAGCCCCGTCCACCCAGGCCGCGAGTTCGATTTGTTTGAGGACCACATCGCCAGCCACCGCCGAGAGTCGCCACATCGTCGCCGTGAGCGCCGGAGGGAGCGAGGGGAGGGGATAGCAGGCCGGAGAGGAGGCCGAGGAGGCGCCGGCCGGGAGGAAAGGGTTGGCGACGCCCTCCAGCAGTGAAGTTAAGGTATACATTAGTAATCCCTAAGTACAATGCATATGAAAGTTTAATAAAAAATTGGTTTAAGAGTTGTTAATTGTTTCGCATTGTTCGATGTTAGTATGTATGGTTAGCACATATTTGTTATTGCTAAATGTTGGTAGAGGTATTTAAGTAATTGTACGGTTAAATTAGTTCTTAGTTAGTACATATTATTGATATATTGTGTGTTAAAATAGGTACAAAGGTGTTATATTTTATTTGGATTATTAAACTAGTTGTTTGTTACTAATAGTTGTAAATTAGTACACGGCAATATAGTATAAGTTGTAATAGGGTAATTATCGAATGATTAAATGATTAAACGTGAGACTATTTGTCATGTTTTATCAGGATGTTAGGTGATATGCCCATTCGTCTGTATTATGGCGATGCTCCTATACAAATATGTGATAGCGGGGTGGATTTGACTGTATATGCCTTCCATGATACTAGTCTGAATGCACCGGAGCATATGGGTTTGAACGACGTGTTAGGGTGGTTGTATAATATGTTTGGGGTAGATCCAGTGCACGATAAATTTATCATAAATGCCGTGTGGCCAGTGAGGGGTCAACATGGATGGCAGTGGAGAGTAGTGGAGGTTGCGTCAACTGGGAGTTGGAGGAAGTTTGTTAGTAAAGTAAGGGAGAAAGGCTATAGCCTGGCAATAGTGGTGCAGAAGACAACATGTGTTGATCGATCGGGGGAGTCAAGTCATGCCGTGGTAGAAGAAACTCCGTTGGAAGGTGGACAAGCTGAAAATGTTTGGCGGACTGAGCAAGGTCGAGGGGAAGTAGTAGAGGGTAATACACAAGGAGAGGTCATTGTTCGTGGTACTAATCGTGAGGCCAACGACTCGGACGATGAAGAACCAGATTCGCCTATGCGTGTTGATGCAGCGGAGGAGAATGAGGCGGTAGTGGATCAGATGGAAGTGGAAAACGAGGAATACCTTGCGCTTGTAGTGGAAGGAGAAGATACAACACTGTGGGACAACGAAACTAACATACCCGATGATTGGACGACCATATCAATGAGTCGTATGAAGGTAAACGATGGTTTAGATGCCCACTGGTGTTATGATAGTAAGCAGGTGAAAGTTGGACAGATGTTTCATGACAAAGGTCACTTACAAGATGCGGTGAAGAGGTGGGCATTTGTCCAGAAGCGTGAGTTCAGGGTGAAGGTTTCAAATAGGACGACGTATGACGTGAAGTGCATACAGGGTGGATGTCCTTGGAGAGTGCATGGTTACAAGCCACAACATGACACTTTATGGGTAGCTTCGAGGGTTGAGCAACATATGTGTTTGTTGGAGAATACCCGTCTGGTGCACAGAAACCTGACAGCGGCATTTGTGGCACAAATGGTATATTCAAAGGTGGTTAGAAAAACATCTTTGTCCCCTTTCACCATAATGCATGACGTTGAGAAAGAGTACGGATATGAGATATCGTACGACAAGGCTTGGAGGGCAAAACAGAAAGCATTGGAGATGAGGTTTGGAACTTATGAGGATTCTTATCACAATCTTCCCCCACTATTGGAGGTGATGCAGGCAAGAAACCCGGGCACACACATGGCTATTCTCGATGAGGTGAATGAATATGGGGAGAATGTTCTTCGTCGGGCTTTCTGGTCATTTGGGTGCATGATAGAGGCCTTTAGAAATTGCATTCCTTTGCTCTGTGTTGATGGCACTTTCATGACAGGCAAGTACAGAAGAACAATTCTAACCGCGATCGGAGTCGACGCGGATAGCCATGTCGTTCCTGTTGCTTTTGCATTTGTTGAAAGCGAGAACACATCAAGCTGGCTATGGTTTTTGCGGCACATTAAAATGTGTGTTGTTGAAAACAGACCAAATGTGTGTTATTGTGACCACGGTTCAGCCGACGGTACAAGAGTGGGAGCACGCAGCTGATAACTTGGCACTTCAGACACCTCCAGATGATGGGAGTTATTATGGAGCTTACCTTCATTGGTACCGCAGTGTTACACGATGGAGGTGTTTTCCTCCACAAGGAGATAGCACCGTCCCCCACCAGGCAGCGATTACTGACACGTTTGCCCCTCAGCCTAGATTAGCTTACAACTCAATGGTATGTGTTTATTTGTGGAATTTGAGCAACTAGTTCAATATTTTTAAAAAGTTAGCAAGTAGTTCAGTATGTCTAATAAATGTGCAATTGGTTCAACTAGTTCCTTTTCTTACATAAATGTGGAACTAGTTCAGTATTTATAAATGATGTGCAACTGGTTCATTATTTCTAACAAATGTGCATCTTGTTAAATACTCTTAATAAATGTGCAACTGGTTAAATAATTTTAATTGCCTTGATTATTTGTGGAACAGGCGGAATTTGTTGAGCACGTTCACGTGGAGTCCGACACCCTGCTACAAAGACTAGAGGCGAGACCTCCAGTCGTCAGGCCTGACGACGTGGCGAGCATCCTTCGCAACTTCCGTGCACGTGCTGCCGCACTACTACGTCGTGTCTCCTGTCGGAGCGCGGCAGATGTGGTGCAGACGTCGGGCCGACGGCCATCACCACCACTACCCCGACGTTCCAGCGTGGATCGGAGTGGTCCATCCTCTTCACGTCGCGGGTACGAAACGGCCCACACATCTCACGGTCGTCCTTCCTTTCAGCACACCCCAGCACCGGAGTACACCAGGGGGTCAGCCGAATCAGGGGTACCCACGTCGAGCACGGCACCACCACGTCCGCAGGTATTCCAAACTCCGCCTTATGTTCACCCCTCGCAGGGAGCATCTGGGTCGGCACACTTCCCTTACATGCCAACGGGGGACAACGTGTTGAACACACCAGCATGGGGACTTCATATCACTCCGCGTGCGCCAGAGCAGGGCCACACACAGCACACATGTAAGTCATTTTAAACAATAACATGCTTTAGTTTCTAATTATATGTATCGTTACTAACTACGCCATATTTTTTGGTTTCTTCCTCTTGTGCAAACAGACGATGAGTACGGTTCGGCGTCGACGCATCACGGAATGCCTGCTTACTCCCCTTGCACAGCATTCATTGAGGACTTCTTTTCCACTGATCATCCCCAGGGGGAAGTAGGGATGGATTACTGGCACGCAGCACCTCAGGTCACACAGCCGACGCAGGAGACGGAGGCCGGTCAGGGGCCAGACGTGACACCACAGCAGGCAGCTAGAGATAGGCACCCTCCTGATAATTTGACATATCCCACTGAGCAGATTAGGCGTAGGAAGAAGGGAGGACCTAGCAAGCGTGCGAAGGGCACTGATCGTCCTTGACTTATCTATTTGTATTAAACTTTTAGTCATTTATATTCTGTCCGTACTATTTGAGAAACACTTTACGATTAACTTAGTACTATCAGTACTATTTCATAAACTTCTTCGGATAATTACTCAGTAGCATACCCTTCGAATGAATCATGACAAATTATCATTCAAATATACAAATAATGAAACTAAATAATTCAAATATTTTAACCAACAAATAAATACTACAATTTCTGACCAAACATTATCAAAACCCTAAATCATATACATATAACATTACAAAAATATTTTCCTTTCTTACACACTAAAATAAATTACATTTTATTAAAAAAAATAACTTATTACAAATAAATAGAGAACGCGACCCTGTCGAACTGCGCCAGTTCGACGGATATCCTGTCGAACAGGGGCAGTTCGACAGCCCTGCCTGTCGAACAGGGGCTGTTCGACAGGTCCTGTCGAACGGCAGCCTTCCGATCTCCTCGCCAGTCGCGCTCTGGCCGTTCGATAGGCGCCCTATCGAACTGCACCCGTTCGACAGGGACCTACTTTCGCGATTTTCCCCGGTTGACCACTACTTTTGCGATTTTCCATAAAAATAATATTAATTCTCAAAAAAATTCGCAAGAGCACACGTCTTGTTGAATGAGTTTTGCCTCCAGTAGAGTCTCCTGTAGGGTTTACCTTGAAGTCTTTGCTTTGGGTCAACTGCAATAGAATGAGGGAATGGTTTGCTTTGAAGTTTTTGCCGTGGGTCAACTGTAATAGAATGAGGAAATGGTTTGACTTCAAATGGGATAATGTTTCTCCCTGTCTAAGGGTTCTCGTATGCATGATGACCATGCTGGGGCCTGGGGATACCATTGAGAAAATGAGAAGCAACCAAGATGACAAAATTCCAGTTAGTTACCATGACCATTGTCCTGACGTCCTCTTGTATTTTGCGGGTACCTACTAATACTAAAAATGTAAGTTATTTATTTGCTTGCGTGCCAAATTGCATCCCACCATGTAGTACAAGTGTACACTCTGCTTATCATTTCCCCTTTTACCAAATCAACAGCGTGCAAGCGTAAAACATATTTCTACTTGATTCAACAGTTCAAGCATGGCTGCAATGGATTCACATGAAAACCAACACCATGCCCCAGTTGCCGCGGAGACCATACAACAATAGGAAGATCTAAACTGATCTGGCCAAACCTTTCAGTTATAGCAATAAACTCTCTACGTAACATAGAAGTTGCTAATACTACTAACAATTTCTCAGTCGCTGGAACGGCGATAACACAAGCTCACACAGGTCCCAAAAAAAATACAGCAAGAGCTTAGCCCGAGCAGCAGCCGCCCTTCTTCACCGCCGAAACATCATCCTTTATATTGATCTTCTCACCCTTGCCAGGACCAGAACCTGCATCATCACCTGCTTCGACTGACCTCTTGCTCACGATGCGGTAGATCTGGGTCAAGACCTCTGCAAATGCATTCTCAACGTTGGTGGACTCGAGCGCAGAGGTCTCCATGAAATAGAGCGATTCTCTCTCCGCGAATGCCTTCCCTTCATCGGTTTGAACCGCTACAAGATGGCGCAGATCAGACTTGTTGCCAACTAGCATGACAACTATGTTTGGGTCTGTATGGTCCCTCAATTCCTTCAACCAGCGCTCAACATTCTCAAAGGTTGAGTGCCGGGTGACATCATAGACAAGCAACGCTCCAACAGCACCTCGGTAATATGCACTAGTAATAGCACGGTATCTGCACCAAGAACAGATGCTTTATAAGTGAAGGCAGAAGTAAACTGAAAAGGCAGCATTCTGCCTTGCAAGATAAATCAGTGCTGAAACTACTAAAAAAATAGTCACAAATTAGTCTAGCAAGAAAAGGACAAGATATATCTGGAGAATTTAAGGTTAATGTCCATCCTACAGGACACCTACATTTAGGTTATGTTCAACTTCCTATTGTCCTTAGCATAGATAACTCAGCGGAATTAACCAAATTTATTCTACTCAACGGTAGAGTTACTTATCTACAGGTCTGAGTAACACAATGCAGGCGCACATTGGCTGGTGGATCTCAATCCTATATTCCTATGGGTGAACTAAGTATTCCAGTATTAATGAGCATAATTGAAAGAAGTTCATAGAACCAAATTTATAATGGCATGGATCCAATTAACCCCAGGAAGGAAGAAGCCTACTTTTGGCCCTCTTAACTTTTGCTCAAAGTGCATTTTCATCCTAACATTGCTGTGACCAGGGAGCTTTGCTATTCTGCCCCCTCGGCACTTCTCCAGTAAATTCAACCATGTATCCCGTGCTTACAGAGCTACTTGTCCAATTCCTACAAACAACCAGAGCAGATTCTCCATCCAGAAGGAGATCAAGAATGTCTTTGGCGAGACATTGCTTCGACATTGCTTCAGTGTCAAAATACACCATCATCATTGAGATCAGTGTTCTTAAGGCGACAAGGCGAGGCAAGGCGACCCACCCCTGCTCAATTGCCTAGGCGACGCTTTAAGCGTTTAAGGCGAGGGTAAGGCGACGCCTTCCACACAAGCACAAGAGGCATACTAGAAATATATGAGGCAAAAAAGAGAGGAAGAACATGAAGGGGCGAGGAAGATCCATTGGAGAAGGGAGCAGCAGGAGGGAGACAACCATCTTCTCTTTCCATCTTTCCCATGTTTCCAATCTCTGCTCGCCCTATTCTCTACTCTCTTTCCATCTTTCACCCTTCCCTCTCCCTAAATTGGTGCACTGCTATATCTATTCTCTTTCCATCTTTCGCCCTTCCCTCTCCCTAAATTGTCGCACATGCGATTTCCGTCCTATCTTCACGCGATTTCCTTCCCAGCATGCATAAATCCCTAAGCGGTGGGGACGCTCTGCTCCCTGATGGCGCTCAGACGCCTAGGGACGCTTTTTAAACCATGATTGAGATTCCTCCACGACGATCACCTCCATCCAGTTTCTCGCTCCACATTCTATCCGGCGATGAGAATTTGTTTTTTATCAAATAACTATCACAAAGCTGCTAGCCCTTCCCCAAATCCACCCCTACCTCTCTCACTGTTGCTACTGTTGATTTTTGCCTAGACATCAGCATCACTGGATAGAACATGCAATGAGGAACTAGATGGAGTGAGCTTGGTAAAGGAATTAATTGGTGATTGCCATACTTTAGCAGCAGCAAAGCAATGTCTGACACTAAGAACCACTTGATTTTCTTGAGGACAGGAGTCTCTGTTCCTCTAGTTATTTGTAGGAATTGGACTAGGAGCTTCAAGAACATGGTGTTATGCGGTTGAATTTGCCATAGGCAGATCAATGGAGCTCCCATAGTGGCAGCAATGAGGGTGAATAATGGACTTCAAGCATAAGTTCAAAGACCAGAAGTGGACTATTTCTGAATTTAGTCCGAAAAATGAACTTTGGGACGAAAAGTATGGACTTCATCCATATCAAAACCATGACCAAACATAACTTCTTTCGAAATCCATACTGCACAAACATACATGTGCCTTTTTTTAAAAGATATTGGGTAAAGTGTATTTGTGCCATGAATGGCTGCTATCAGGAATGCAATCTCCACATGTTGTAGCATTGTTAAAAGCTAAAACTGCAAGATTTTGCACCAAGTAATACTATAGCATAGCAGTCCTACTGCCAACTGGAACTGAAACTTTTGACTTAGTCAACTTCTGTGGTTCAAGTGCCTTATTTGATATAAACAGGTTGTGGTAGTGGACAGCAAAAAATGCAATTCTGCATAGAAAACATCAGCACTTATTTGGTATGTTAAGTGACACATCATATAATACTATGGGTGATTTCAAAATTGCCAATCACCAATGGTGGTAATGAAGATGTGCCACCCTATGCCTCACTGACATCTGGTTCATAGTAAAGCCATCAAATGCAATTATTGGGGAGCAGCAAATCATCAGCTATCCCTAGCTCCCTACTACATTTGCTACTTCAGGTCAGGGTATGCAATCCAATATTATTCAGTTGAATATACCAAAGTACGCAAGAGAACAATAGGAATATCCCCTAAAAAATTACTGACTGATGGCTTATAGAAGAAAAAGAACAGCACAACAAAATTTAGTTTTATTTGAACATTGCTCATGTCTTGATGAAGCAAAATGAATTTTCTACTGCTGCATGTAATCAAATTACTGTTGCAAGCACCTGTCCAATATTACATCGCTATGCCTATATGGTATATTCTCATGTCTCATCCGCATTAAAATGCTCCAACTTTTACAAGACAGTTATATTAGAAGTCCTAACAACAGATAGCATCAAAATGAACCCAAGAAAACCATGTTTCCAGACAATCACTACTTTGAGTCCAATGAAAGTTCCAATTCCCATGTCCAACAAAAAGCCCCTACCCTCCAAAGAGAACTGCCATGTGCCCTCGTGGCTATTTTCAGTTCTTCACTGCAGTAGCAGAAGATAGTGCTTTCAAGGCACAAAGCAGTGTCGCCCTTTGAGAAACACAGCCAAAACTTCACCCAGAAAGAGGAGATACACTACTCTCCCCCTTTTTCTGCTTCAATGGAATGATTTTTCATCACTATGAGTCACATCAATCATACTTTGGATATTTTCCTTGTTCAGCCTAGAGTTTGTGTGAGTTTTGCAGTTACTAGGGACATGCATGTGTGTTGCAACAGGATACGGGAGAAGATGGGGCAATTGCTCTATGGGCTCAGTTTTCTACGGGCCAATGGTTGCCCATAGAGGGCCAGTTTTTTTCTGGGTGGTGGTTTTTTTCTGGGGAAGTGTGTGGGTAGGATCTTAGGAGGAGGACGATTATGCTTTTGTAGTAGTAGAGTTTTAGTTGATTGAATACATGGTGCACTGGGATAGCTATGTATGGTGAGATCTAGACAGGATATGCAGTAGTCCTAATCTATTCATTATTAATGCGGAACAAATTGTGGTAACAGGTAACTAGAGATGGGTGATAATGAAGAATATATTATTAACTGACTGACATGCTTAATTATAGAAGTGAAAGCACATAAAAACATAACTCTATATATATGAGGACTGAAAATAAAGAAATGGGACAACATGGGAAAAATAATGCAGGATCATGAACTGTAAGTATAGGCAGGTTCTCTATCTAAAACTAAAAGAAGAGGTAAACCAAGCTACCAGCTCACAGTAAACAAGGGCTTCTATTATTCAACACAACTGCACAAAAAGGCAGAATGGATGGATACGAGCGACTCCAACCATCAGCTAGAATTAGTCCTAAAATTAGTCAACCATACTCAGCAAAAATGCTTGCAATGTTTTCTCCAGTAGTATGGGAATCGCTTGGTGTGCAGGACATGAGTTTTTAAGCATGAAAATTGTAATGATATAAGGAAATGTAATGAAAATGGCAACAGAAGCTCTATAATCAAATGGATGTATTGAGTAGATAAGTAAATATCTTTGTCTTTACAATAATCACCCCCCAATTCAATATTGTACGAAGCTGAGCAGAGAGATGCATTGAGTACCTATTTTTAGCATTATAACCGCTAGTGCCCGACTCAATATTAAAACCTTCCTCCAAATATTTGAAAACAGTCATCTCACTTTCTGGTCACAAGAAGTTATTTTAGTTGGGCAAAGACATCCATGTTTCTAAATAAATTCGCGCATGCATCACAAGCCCTATTGCTCTTCTCTCCACACAATAACTATTGATGGTCAAGAGAAACAATGCAAAAAAGGCCCTACTGTGGAGTTTGGACAGTTTTCCACGATTGTATAGGACGATCTAAACACACAGCGGGTTCAAGATACCATCACCAAAACTAACAATTAAATAAGGATAACCTCTTTATCCAAACACTAGTAGATGAACTAGAGAATTGGCGGAGCTAACCCAACTCGACTTGACGAGCTCATTTCACACAAACAGCACCAGCAATCAATCAATCAATCAATCAATCAATCAAGCATGATAAGTCTAGTAAAGCAAAAAAAAAACACTGAAAAACCATTTACCACAACCGAAACGAGTCAAACCCTTTCCATTTCGGGGATCGAGCAAAAGATCTACCAACATCAAAAAAAATCCTACGCACTTGGCTAACCGCGTCGACACACGCAACGCAATTCGGCGGCGGCGAGATCCAAACCGCTCGGGCGTCCCACGTGAATGTAAGAACATGGATCTACTCTCGCAGCGGCGGGGAGAGGAGGAGAGGGGTGGGGATGGGATGGGGATGGAGGGAGGGAGGAGGGGCGTACCGCTCCTGGCCGGCGGTGTCCCAAATCTGGGCCTTGACGACCTTGCCGTCGACCTGGAGGGAGCGGGTGGCGAACTCGACGCCGATGGTGGACTTGGACTCGAGGCTGAACTCGTTGCGGGTGAAGCGGGAGAGGAGGTTGGACTTGCCGACGCCGGAGTCGCCGATGAGGACCACCTTGAAGAGGTAGTCGTAGTCGTCCTCCGCCCGGTACCCCGCCGCCATTGCTCCTCTCCTCTCCTCGGGGTGCAGGTGCAGGTGCAGCTCGGCGATCGATCTGGGTCGCGTGGAGAGAGTGAGGGGGAAAGGTGACTAAAGGCGGAGGAGAGGGGGAGCACGAGACGAGCACGGCAGCGGGGTGAGGGGGGCGGTGGCGTGCGCGTGGAGTGCGGCGGATGGGGGATTTTGGTCGGGGTGCGGATGTGGGCCGGGCCGGGTGGGGTGGAGCTACGTTTTTTAGGGGCTCGTGTCTTTTTAGAGCAAGTTTAATAGTATAGCCAATTAATAGCTTCAATTTATCTATAGCCAATCTAATAGCACATTCCTATAATAGTTACATACTATACTATTAATATCTGGTCCCACCTGTTATACATACACTGTGTCTTGAGTCCATGCTACAGGTAGCTATAAATATGTATCCTGCTGCTCTTCTCTCATCATTAATCTCTTTAGGGCCTGTTTGGTATAGCTCCAACTTCTAAATTTAGCTCTAGGAGTTGGGTCTGGAGTGGAATTGTGAAGCTGACTAAACCCAACTCCACAACTGTAGTTCATTTTGTAAGAGAGCTCCATCCAGCTCCACTCCCAGTTTTGGTGGAGCTGAAACTGTTTGGCTGAGCTCTAGCTACAAGAGGGGTGGAGCTGGAGCTGTGCCAAACATGCCCTTAAAATATGTTTTGGTGATGGTAGAGTAGGTAGGTGACGACGTTTTGATTGCGAGTGATTTTGTGCCTTCGTGGCGGACCACGCTGTACACTAGTCCGGCCCTTTCGTTGACACTCCGAATGAGTTCTTTTTTTCTTTTTTTAGCAACTTGAAATAATTTTTTTGGTTTCAGTTAGCACGTTTATCAAACTGTGGAAAAATTATTATATAGAAATTTTTTTAAGAAAAAAACAAAGAAATTTGTTGTTAAAATTTTTAACGGTTAATATTTAATTAATCGTGCACTAATGTTCTGTGCGGTTTTGTGTGTGGCCGGTAAGTTTTAGCGAGATGCTTAAATAAATGCACCCTTGTTGTTGAGTCCTGTGGTCCACATAAATCAACAAAAATATGTTGTTTGATAACATACATTAAAAATGTAGAAATTCGAGACTCAAGCAATAGAAACCATGATATCTTATCTCATGCTGGTTTTTTCACAAAATTCATTACAATGTCTCATTTCATAAGGGTTTCTTTGGAACCCATAACCGTTTAAAAAAAAACACCCGAACATAGCGTCATGCCCATTAATTTCCTATAGAAATTAGAACACATGAAAGTTCTATCGGACAATAGACAGGAAAAAACACAGTAACTTTGTGCTATGGAATGGAAATGTGAGTGCTAGATTTTCTCCAAAATTCCTATGAAATAACTCATTCCAAAGGAATTCTAGAGGGATTTGAGAGAGCTATTCATTTGCTCTAAAGGACCACATAGGGATTATTTCTATAGGAATCAATTCTTCAAAATTCCTCTTACTTTCCGTTTGTTACAAAGATAGCCTTTTAAATTTAAGGTTTCCTTTAGAATGTAGGATTTTATAAATGAAAAAAAACTTAGGATTCGAGTGTCATATCATCTCAAATCCTATGGATGAAAAAACACAAGAAAAGTGCATGAATAACTATTTGAATGGAGCACATGAAAAACACAAGAATCAAAAAAGAGAGATGGACACAAAGGAATTTTCCAAGAGGTAGAACCTCATGTTAAAAATTTGGTGAAGCCTTTCCTTTGTTTCAAAGAGAATATAGGATCTCTTCCCATATAAATCGAATCATCTAAAATTCCTTTTGTTTCAAAGGATCCCTAAAGCCACATGCCACTCTTGTAAGGCTTCTCTAGATTGCGGGAATAAAAATACATAGGGATAGAACAAAAGAACAAACACAAGATTGATGTGCCGTGGCTTAATGAATATCACAAGAACTTAAAAACACAGGAATCACACATTATTAGATAGAGAAGGAAAAGGGATAGAGAGGAAGTGCATCGGAGTTCTCAAAGGGAAATGTAGGCTTAGCTCCATATCCCCCGATTTTTAAAACGATGAGGAAAAGCTTCAAGCTTAAAGTTTTCTTTTTGGTTGTTTGCCCTTTTGTATATCTCGATATAAGATCTGGAGTATATGCACTCGTGTAAGTTTTGACTGTGGGTACACTTATGGGTATAGAGACCAGATTCTATCCATCATTTTAAAAAAATAACCTACTGATGCACAAGCGTCATTAGGGAAATCCTAACATAGAAAGTAGAAACTATCACGTACTACCTTTGTCCTAAATAAATTAATTTCCACCCATCCCACACATATCAATACATAACGTAAAAAAATAGAATACCCTACTTTATCAAATCTCAATGTAACTTTTTCTCACTTTATCTACCCCTTAATATAATTATTTCTAACTTTCACAAACTTCAATGCAATAATTACTTTGAAATAAACTTATTTTGGGACAAATAGAAGCAGCTAAAAATAAACTTAATATGAGACGGGTGAAGTAGTTATCATACTTGCCATGTTATATAAACACCGTGTGTAGAAATAATATATTCAACGGGTGTTTTTTTTTCAAAATAAATTCCCATTCAATCACCTCTATTCTCTCTTCTTTTATCCACCTAACCCCTTATTTCCGTTCTTCGTTTATGTGTAGAGCTAATTTCTTGTATGCGAAATGATTTATTTATCTTTTTTCTCTTCTCATTAACTTTCTTTGCCACCTTAACTTTTGCTTATGTGACAACGTACTTAACACTTTGAAAACTAAGGTGGAGGGTTGGGAGTGCCCTTACTTATCGGTGCTCCTTTTCTTGTCTGTAACCTGGCTGTCCCAATTGATTATATGACCGTGTCTGACGAGATAATCTGATAAATTGTACATGTACTGTGCGACGATCAACTGAAAGCACTGCTGATTACGCATAGGAACATTCCCAACTGGAAATCAATCAATGCAATTCGGAAGACAGATCAATCGATTTAATACTGCCCTTGTTTAACTTTTTATCACCGGAATCAGTCGAAAGCAAAATTTAAATTTTAAAATTTAATTTTGCAGCTAATTTTAAAATATTTTTTTCGTGGTTTCTCTTTTAAGTCATTAAGAACATATATAGAAGAGTTTTTCTTATAATCAGCTCTCACCCAACCGATGGGATTAGTACACATCTAACATAAAAATTCTCACGCATCGTCAGATCCCACATGAGTAGCCATCACATCAACACCTCTCTACTGTCAAACAAATCGCATTTAGATGAATGGAATTACATCGGGGTTTAAATCCTGGTGTCCACAAATATAGTTGTGTGCAGGGATTGCAAATTATACCTATTTGTTTTTATTCCTCAAATACACATGAGAGGTGCATATCTTTAAGAAGGCAGTTACAACTGCTGAAAAATAGAAAAAAAAACAAAGCGACAAACAAGGGCCTTACAATTTGTTTGTAAAAAAACAAAAACAAAAAGGGATAATTTCTTGCTTGATTGTCCACCAGAACCGATTGGATCTTGGATCTAATGAGTCGCATCAAATCCAATCTTTAAGGACCAACCTGCTCAGATCAAGCTGAAAAAGGTTGTGAGATCATCTTCAAATGGGCAGCCAGGTCGCTGTCATGCAGCTAGGTTGCTCACAGTCACACACTAATGTCCCAGCTTAATTTGCTTGGTCGTTATGCCCACAATCTACACCGAAAAGCTCTTGCTTGATTGCTTTGATTCTCGGTGATTCCAAGGTCTAGTAGGATCAAGATCTGTTCTAAAGTTGTGCATAATTGCAGAGAATTATTGCGGAGAAATGGCGATCTAGTAGTACTACTACCTCAAAATATACGATGTTTAGGACAGATTAACTACTCTTACTAAACATCATGTATAAAAAATTGAGGGAGGAGCAATTAAGTACAGAGAGCAACATCGCCACTAAGGACTGAATCTTTCATAGAAGTGGTACTGCTTTTTGCATATTTGATTTAATTTGTTGTGATTAACGTGGCATGCATGACACTAAAGTCATCATCTTAGTGCGCATAATTAATGTAAGTAGTATATATATATTGTACCCGATCTATCCCCATCACGGATATCCTACTTAAAAATCTTAAATGCGTTCGTTGCTAGATGCATCTTAAGGTTTCTCTCCTGATCAAGGCTTTGAGAGAACTTTTATAGACATCTGCAGACATGATGGAGAGATGCCTCGTGCTAGGTTTGATTGGTTGGTTGGTTGGTAGAAACTAGAAAGTGAGTGAGAGGTGGAGAGATGAAATGTACTTGTTGCAAGAGGTGGAGAAGAAGACACCAATCATAAAAGAAAGGAGGAGCTGACCTAGTTGTGGCCCCCCTCTAACACTGATCAATGAACAATCAATCATGGACATAGATAGATCACGGTTACCTTTGCAAATAGCTTTTAGCCAAGATCAGATGGTGGCGTCCAATCTTGCTAGGTCATTCAGCTAATCTCACCCCCTTCTCTGAATTTTCTCATCATTCTTGTATCTTTCTTGATGCAACCATCGATCCAACCATCCTCTGAATCTCTGATACTACTATATTTTTCTTTGGTCGATCTGCGAGATAGGCCGCAATGGCGTCGTCGTCTTCGCTGCCGGAGATCGTGAGCTTCTCGCCTGAGTCCGACGGATCGTCGTCGTCGTCGGCACCTCTGATCGGCGGCGACGGCGAGCTCGTCGTGCAGCTGGTGCCGCGAGACGTCTCTGATGGGATCCTGGGCAAGTTCGCGGACACCAGCGAGTTCGACTTCGACTACGACCAGAGCGGCCTCTGGTCGCCGCTGGTGCTGAGGCCGGAGGTCCTCCTGCTCGCGCAGACGCCGGCCGGGCGCCGCCGCCGCCGCCACCACCACCGCCGCCGGTGGAAGCGGAAGAAGGTAAGTAGTAAAAACCAAAGAAACCCTGCATTCTATCCACCCTCCTTGCTGCCAGTGAACCGGACAAAAATTCAGATTCCGGTAACCAGCCGAAATGATTTCAAATTCAAATTTGTGGCATAAATTTTCATTAAATTCATATACTTTGGGCCAATAGCTGCCTCCTAATCGACGGTTTTTGGAACCACATGCTCATGGATAATCGGCAATGAAACAGAGATCAGTCCATGATGCATCTTGATCTCTTCTCTGATGCAGATGCTCTGCTACTGCTTCTGGTGACATGAAATTGGTATTTTGGCATCATTGGCTTGGCTTCTTCTCGAGTGCAGAATTGCGTGCTTAATGATGGAGTAGGTATCTATGCGATGCAACAGAAGAAAAAAAAGGGGGTCAATACTCCAACACAAGAGGGTGTCCAATCCACGCATGTACTGCCAAAACATTGTGAAATACTTTTTTTTTGGTACCTGATGCTCTGTAATTACCATTGATTTCTTTAACAGCTTTACTGTTTTTCCATGTGAAATTTATTGATGCATCGTGCGTGTACTGATCTAAAGAAGACAAATGTTGTAGAATTACTTCGCATCATGCGTACCACGTGTTAATTTTCAGCCTTTTAGTTAGAGGAAATTAAGAACATGAATGGACTGTATATATCTGCATGATATCTAGATGGACAAAGAAGCGGAAAATAAGCTTCTTTGTAGAATTGTAATCTCTCCGTTTCACAATATAAATCATTATAGCATTTTCCACATTTATATAACATTAATATGAATATGAAAAATGGTAGAATGTCTTTTTTTTTTTTGAAACAGAGGAAGTAGTTGTGCTTTCAGCTTAATGCTCCGAGTTACAGCGCCTGTATGATCAGCGTGTGGCAAGATACCTTCTTGCCGATGGAGTTTTGAGCGTTGAGATTGGTCCTCCTGCTTCTGCGGCTTAGTTTTTTTGGTTGTGAGTTCATTGTAGCTGTGGTTTGTTTCAGTTTATTTTAATAAAAAAATTCTTTGCACAACCAGTTATTTCACACACATTATCTTGTAAACAAAACCTAGTCAAAAGCAAAAAAAAAGAAAATAAAAAACTAGAGTACCAAGGTGTCTACGTAGATTTTTCATTGGTTTCCGTTTGGAAGTTTGAAATGGTGTATTTCGTAAGAAAAAAAGTTTAGAAAGCTGCTCTAAAATATCAAATAAATTATTTTTGAAGTTTAAAATAATTAAAACTTATAATAATTTCTCGTTTCACGTGCACCTTCCAAAGCACTCTTTTATCTCACTAGGATTGAAGACTTGTTTCTGTCAGAGAAAACCCTGCAATAAAAATGATTTTGCGTATCTGAATGGAAACATGATTCTTCGATGTATCAGAGTCCATATGAATAAAAGAAAAATAAAAAAAAATTAAGGTCCCACCGAGATTTGAACTCGGGTTACTAGATTCAGAGTCTAATGTCCTAACCGCTAGACCATGGGACCTTTCATACCGTCTTCTCTTAAAGACTTAATTTATACAAAACTGGAGTAGTACGCCAGTAGAGTAGCAAACATCGCCGAGAGAGAGGGGTCTCCTCTCCTCGTCCTCGGCAGCGAGATGCGCGACGCGCTGGCAGGCAGCGAGGGAGTCCGGATCCGGGGCGTCCGTCTCTAGCACCGAGGCAACCGTACATACGAGGATGCACATGGGCGGCGGTTTGGGCCGCCTGCTCCTGGGCAGGACGCACGCAGGGGCCCTGCCTGGGGCCTGGGGGTTGTCCGGTGATGATGGTTGTCTTCGACAGGTCTGCCCATCACCTGTTCGACGAAATGCGTAGGTGAGAATCCTGCGGCTTTCTCGGTTGGTTTCTTAATGTTTTTGGGGGAAAACTGATAGGGAGTCACTACTCCACAAATATATATCGGGTTCAGTTTTTTGCTTCAAAAGAAACAAATTTGTGCAACTGAGCCTGGGTGCGTCTGCAGCAGCTCGCTTTCCTCTCTTCTCCGCCTCGCCCTTCCTCGCTCGTGCCCCTGTCTGCTGCGCTGGTGGAGGACCGAGGCAGCGACCCAGTAATGCCCGAGACGACGATCCAGTGAAGTTACCGACCCCATCTACGATCGTGACCGTGATGCGTCCCGTCCTGGAACACTGAAACGATGGCTCCAGGTTACAGCTTCCTTGGGGTAGCTGTGGATGACGCTCATGGACTTTTTTATTTACTCCGTCCCAAAATATAACAATGTTTAGTCCTCGGGATTTGTTCCAAAATATAACAACTTCTTCACTAACGTTCTGTTCTCATCCCATCACAAGTTCACAACACTTCACCATTCACTTTTCCCACTTACCTCCACTACTCATCCAATTACAACCCTCCACCATTCACTTCTACCTACTTTCTTAATAAGCATGTCCAACTCTAAAACTTCTTATATTCTGGGAAGGAGGGAGTACATGTTGGAAATATAGTCATATATCGGCATTTTTTAATCCAAAATATTAAGACAATAATCATGCATGAACAATGTGGGGTGATCTAGTGATAAAATGTAACATAACCAGGAGCATGCTTAAGGTATAATAAGCATCATGAACATACCAAGAACGCAATAGAATTGCGACTAACAGAGGTATCAAAGATTGAATTAACAGTAAAAGAATATTATACCCTGTAAATGTCCCTCCGCTGGATTGTGAGGCAGAACTGCCTCCGTTGACGTTGTCGTTCGCAGCGGCTCCGGCTCACCGGCGCGTCTCCAGGTGCTGCGGCGGCAGCGGCGGCGGCGGCTCCAGGTGCGGCAGACATGGTGGACGACGAAGAACAGAAGATGAGGAGCAGTCGTGTGGAAGCACTCCCCAAAAACCTGATCACCCGCCTACCCGGTGCAGATCTCAGGCGAAAGTGTGGTTTCGGAGGCCCTGCTCGTTCCGATCTCTCGTGCGCCCAAGCGATCAGAAGCGGGGAAGCAGAACATATGCAGCATAGGCGCGCGCGCGGAGGAAGAACACCAAAGATGAAAACCAAGCGAGAGAGATCTGATCGGATTAGCGGTTTCCTTATAGCGCAGGAGTGATACCGCCCGTTGCCGCACTAACGACGCGATCAATTGGAATTGAATCGCCTGGCCGTTACGGAGGCAATCGCGGGATTGGTCCGTTGCAAAAAGGATAGGCGCAGGCGCAGGCGCAACGCACGCCATGCCACGCCCACGGCCTCGGCCCTGCCGGCCGGCCGGCCAGCTCGGCTCGGCTCAGCGCGCGCGCGCGTGTGGCTTTCTGATTCCCACCTCAACCGGTCAACAGGGAGCCTCCAATAACTCCCTATTTAAGTTGAGATACTCCTCGTTTAATTCCTGAGGTGCTATTATTATCCTTAACATTTATTATGGGCCTTTGAGATTTAATAGAATAAATCGGACCTAGCCCAATTATTCTAACAGTCCCCACCAAATTTCAAGGCTCATAAGAAATGTTCTCAAGGTTGTGCCTGTTTGATATACCAATGTTTTGGTGGAGACTATTAAGTTGAACTTCCACCTAGGAAATGAGCTACATCAGACCACAACTGAACAATGGACTATGCCTTGAATTGTCAGTCTTGTGTGATCAGGTTTTACTCAAACCCTTGACTGGTACTGGGCCGCCGTTCGCATCCCCTCTGTTTGGAGCATATAAGTTAAACTCCAGGCCTTTTCATGAGTATCTAGAGATCGCCCAAATCTCATAGAATATGACTAGCAGTCGAACTCATATAGGTGTGTTCCTTCTGAGATGTTCTGCAGGTCAACATCTCTGCTTAGAAAAGCCACTCGGATCATATTGAGGCATAAGCCATTCTACCATGCAGAAAAGAAGAGAAGTACATCATGAAAATGAGCCCTTTTCAAGGGTCTCTTCTCTCTGTCACACAATAGTTTGTTTCGCCATCCAGATTCACGGGATCTCCGATCACAATGGACAGGTTTCCACTATTGTGCAACCTTAGGTGGGTATCAAGCCCATTTCCCTCGATGCACTGTCTATCACATTACGTGGTAGCCCCTTGGTAAACTGATCTGCTAGATTTTTAGCCGTTTGGACATAGTCCAATGCTATCACTCCGGAGTTTTTCTGCTTTCTGACAGATTTCAGTCTTCTCTTGATATGCCTAGATGACTTCATATTGTCCTTTGAACTGTTCACTTTAATAATCACTGTTTGATTATCACAGTTCATTAGGATAGCTGGCACTGGTTTTTCAACCACCGGCAAATCCATCAGGAGTTCACAAAGCCACTCGGCCTCAACTGTCGCAGTATCCAGTGCTGTAAGTTCTGCTTCCATTGTTGACCTCGTTAAGATGGTCTGCTTGCTAGACTTCCAGGAAACAGTGCCACCTCCAAGTGTGAACACATATCCACTTGTGGCTTTTATCTCATCAGCATCAGATATCCAGTTTGAGTCACTATACCCTTCTACTACTTTTGGGTACCCGGTATAGTGAATTCCATAGCTCATAGTGCCCTTTAGATAGCGCATTACTCTTTCCAGAGCCTGCCAATGATCATCTCCTGGATTTGAGACAAACCGGCTCAGCTTGCTTACAGCAAATGAGATGTCAGGCCTCGTTGCACTAGCCAAGTACATCAATGAACCAATGATTTGAGAATATCTCAGTTGATCCCTTGCTATTCTTCGGTTTTTCCTTAATAGCACGCTGGGATCATAAGGAGTAGGAGCTGGCTTGCAGTCACTATATCCAAAGCGACTCAAAACCTTGTCCACATAGTGGGATTGCACAAGTGGAATCCCACCCTCATCTCCTCTTAGTAGCTTAATGTTAAGAATAACATCAGCCTCTCCCAAATCCTTCATTTCAAAACTCTTGGACAGAAAGTCCTTGACCTCCTCAATCACATTGAGGCTGGTCCGAAAGATCAATATGTCATCGACATATAAGCACAAGATCACTCCTTCTCCCCCACCATAGCGATAGTACACACATTTGTCAGCTTCGTTCACAACAAAGCCAACAGATGTAAGTGTGTTGTCAAACTTCTCATGCCATTGCTTAGGTGCTTGCTTAAGGCCATGCAAGGATTTCAACAGTTTACACACCATTCCCTCCTGACCTTCTAGTACATACCCGTCTGGTTGATCCCTTCTAGTACATACCCGTCTGGTTGATCCATATAGATCTCCTCCTCCAGCTCTCCGTTTAGGAAAGCTGTCTTAACGTCCATCTGATGGACGAGAAGACCATGAGAAGCTGCCAGAGCAAGTAGTACTCGAATCGTGGTCAAGCGAGCAACTGGTGAGTATGTGTCGAAAAAATCCTCGCCTTCCTTTTGGGTATAACCCTTGGCCACAAGTCTTGCCTTGTACTTTTCAATTGTACCATCAAGCCTAAGCTTTTTCTTGAAAACCCATTTGCATCCTACAGGCTTGCACCCATATGGACGCTCAACGACTTCCCAAGTACCATTAGACATAATCGAGTCCATCTCACTGTGTACTGCTTCCTTCCAGTAGTCAGCGTAAGGAGATAAATATGCCTCTTCTATGGTTCTTGGGGTGTTATCCACGAGGTATACAATGTAGTCATCTCCAAAGGATTTTGCAACCCTTTGTCGCTTACTCTTACGAGTATCTACAATGTTGTCCTCCTCAGGATTTCCCTAAGGCGTTTGATCATTGTGTTCTATCGTGCAAAGTGCTCATGGGGTATGACAGTTTCTTAACTAGAGGTGCTAGGTGTATGTTTCATGAGAAATTCATTATCAAAGAATGTAGC